GGCTCCTCTTACATTCACAAGCCCAGGCTATCAACCATGAAGTGATATATTCCTGTCCATGAAGACAGACCAGAGAACATGCTCAGCTCTGGAGCAAACAGCAACTCGGAGGACTGTCCAGAGAGCTGTGGATGTAGATGCCAAGGTGATTTGTTTTTTTGTAAAAGAGCTGAGCTTCTGGAAAAGACCACAGAGTCATGTGGCCTTACCCTTACTAGAAACAGATAATTATTTTTAAGTTCCTGATTCATGGGGAAAGTAAATAAGGCCAAACTGAGACTTTATATTTCAATGTGCTTTCCATGAGCTGAGGGAGATTTTGTGATTCCTGTGATATTCTACAACATGAAACCATCCTTCCAAACACCCAAACCTCTACTATTATTGTTCATATATTCATTGAAAACCTGCTTGGGGTAAAGATCTTATCTGCTATGGAGCTTACTTTCTAGTAGAGACCGAAGCAAGACGTAACACGTAAGTTTAAAATGCAGGTGCCGGACGGTGGTGCAGAGAACACAACTCAAGGGGAGTGGACAGAAAATGAAGAGTGGGTTTGTTTCAGGAGATGTCTCCAAGGAAGTGGCATTTTGAACAGTGACTTGACCAAAAAGAGCAAACCATGTAAACAAGGAGGGAAAGGGCATTCTAGGAAGAAGACTAGCAGGGTGAGGACATTGTAGGGTTCACAGCTATGGTGCACTGGGAGCACAGCGTGTTGGCCAGTGAGAGAGGGCTGGCTGGGACCTCAGAGCCTTTGCAAATGCACCCACAAAAGGACATCCCAGACTGCCACCACCGAGCTTCGTGAATTTGGGAAGTTTATTTCTCCCTCAAGCTTATAACCAGTAGAAGTAGACCTAGGGTGCAGATCCTCAGGCCCAAAGAGACGTGCTTTGTTGTCCACATGTGGTTAGGGTTAAATGCTGGATGTTCCCGAAACCTATGCTAAGGACCACGGACTCTTGGCTGCAGGGTAGAGAGTTGAATAAAGCATTTTGTTCCAGGAAGTGATTTGATGGAGGTAGAGGTTTGATTCAAAGGTAAGTAAATGCTCACAGGAGGTCAGTTTAGAAGTAGCCAGTTTTGGGTTCCCATTGGCTCAGTGAGAACAGTCAGAGGCAGGTGTAAGAAATGAGGTTTGGAGAAAGGAACATTCAGAGGAGTTGCCAAAGGCAAAAAAGAGGCCAGGCACATGCAGGTGGCCTTGAAATCTCACATACATCAAGAACTGAGAGCCACACTGACCGGGACCCAGGGTGAAGAGCAGCAGCATGCTTGGGGATTGTGTGGATGAACCAAGTTTGGATTGCACAGAAATTTGTCTCTCGGAGATGACAATACATAGTGGCTAACCTTAGAATCACATGCTGCTCTGAGAATTAAAACCATCACAGCCTCAATGGATGGATTAGTCCTTTGTTGGCACAAACCCACTGAAACAACTTACAAGTGCACGCCGGGACTTGGGTGTAAACTGAATCCTGATTCAGGGGATCAGCGACCCTCTCGGAGAGTTAGGAATGCAATGAGATTATCACTCAAGAAGTGGATGCTTGGTGGATTTTGTCACATTGATCAGGGATAAAACCTTTGTGATCAGTTGGAGGATGAGCAACCTAGGACAGAAAAAGGGCAAGTCCAGCCTTCTAGATCCCCCAGTGCCCATAAGAACTGTGCCAGTGAAAGCAGCCCTTGCTCAGAGCTTTCTGTGGTGTGAAACTGTCCTAGCCACATGTAAGAATCTCCTACCCACTCTTTGAGCCCCGATGCTCTGCTCACTAAACAACCTCTGAGTCCTTGTGAGAATTTGGATCAACATGAGCCTTTTTTTTTGGTACCAGGGATCGAACTCGGGTCCTTGTGCTTGTGCAGCAGGCAGCAAAACCACTGAGCTAAATCCCCGGCCCAACATGAGCCTTTTGTCGCTGGCTGGTCAATCGCTCCCTGAAACTGAATCAATTGACATTTAGGTAGCTATACATGTGACTTTTTGAGCTTGGTTAGTATGAGTCCAGCCATAGCACATGGCCAACTTGCTTGAGGTTCTGAATGTGGAACGGTGAATGGCAAAGTCTGGCTTGAACCATAGTGTATTCATGGTTTGCTATTTCTAGAAATCTTCCTCTGCCACCACCTTCTCTTTTTCAGGTGATGGTGCTCTTGACCTCTTTGGGATAAGTCAGCTCCCTGTGAGTTTCCCAATAGGCAGATCTAGGTTGTGTATGTTCACTTTCTGTCATCCACACAGGAAGGACTCATTACTGAACGAATGAATGGATATGTGTTTACCTTTAGCCTATAAAGGTTCTAATTTGATGTCATGTTTGTGCACGAACTATTAAATCTAAATCTTTGCTCCCACCAAAATTAGCCTTAGTAGAAGCAAGAGCTTTCATAAATACTTCTTGGTGTTGAAGCTACACAGCCCTTTATTAATGACTCTTCCAGGCTCTCTTACTGTGCTCAGATTGGCAAAGAAGAGTTCTGTGCTCACAGAAGGTAATTCAAGAACAATTAAAAGTTGATTTCATACATATGAGATGTGTGGACTGGGGGTAGGAATTTTGGATGTCTTACAAGAGTGTGTCATGTTTCATCTTCTGCTTTGGGTTTATGGGGGGCCTGCCTGAAGCCACAAGCATCTACCACATCCCTTTCACTACACATCATGTAACAGAACCATGTTCTCATTCAAAACTACATCTGCAAGATCATTGTGCAGAAAGAGGTCCAGGTTTTCTAACAACCCCAGCTCTGACTGGAGAGTCTTAGGAGAAACTCAGTAGCTAATTAGAAGGTGTAACAGGTCATCTTTAACCATGAACAATTGAAACAAAATAGATTGTTAGTTCCCTGATGGGAGAGGTGGTAGCTGGAGGTTCATGAGCTTATGTAATGGTTGAGCCTTTTTTACTTCAAAAACATGCAAACATAAAGCTACATTCCCCCAACCCCAAAGTACAGCACCCACTGATAAGTATTATTCAGAAGGCTTTCTTTGTTTTGCTTGCTTGCTGCTTTTTTTTTTCACAGCAAAGAAAATGCCTGGATACTCACAGAATTTCTCCAAAGTCCTGATCATAGGAATACCCAAGCCTTCCTGGAACCTGTGCCACCTCAGGGTAGCAACGTGGCAGCTGCTTCTGCCCCACGGCACAGCTGGCTTTGAGCAGGAAACGAGGGAGACCTTCTCCGCCGAAAACTACAGGGAGTTTTTGGTGAGCAGAATGCAATTACCCCAGCTGGAGAGGTGCCAGGGAAGAGAGTACACGCCCGACAGTTGCAAAGGCATTGGGGGCTCTCTGCCCCGTAGACTGGATTTTAAACAGAGGACAGAATGAGAATATAATGACCATCATCTTAATAGCTCTAAGGTAATGATGATGATGCTAATCACTATAATATATTCAATGAGGACTCTAACTTTTCAGGATTAAGAGTGAAAAGTCCTAGATTCTATAACTGAAAACACTGGGTTCATAACAAAAGATATGCCTGTAGTCATATCATTTTATTAAGTTCTTCAAAATTGTTGACACAAGTAAACAAATTCTGGAGCAATGGCTAGCATCTGCTTTCCTGGTGAACACTGAGCCCCTGGCTGCCCACACTGGGCTCGGTCTGTGGCAGATTGGATTCTCTTTACAGGGCGTGTACTTTGGGGTTTCATAAATGCTTTTTACGAAAACTGTTTTCTCTGCACACTTACAGTAATTTGAAAAGCAGTGTGTGTTTTTTTAATACCCAGCTTACAGATGAAGAAACTGAGGCCCAGAGAGATGATCTGATGCCTTACAGGCACAAATCAGTAAGCATGAAAGCAGTTCACACTTCATCACCCATCCTCAGCTTTCACTTTTCTCCCAGAGAAAACTCAGATAATGCATGTCATTCTTCCTTCTCTAGAAATGCTAATTTATGTTCCTCAACATATTTTTTAGTGCCGGATTTTAAAATTATGTAAGATGTAGCTTAGAAGTCGGAGCCATCAAAAAGTTCAATCATGACTAGTTGACTAGAAAATATATTTGATAATAAAAATTCAGTTCGAAAAAATGGATTACATAATCCATTTTGCTAAACATAGCCTGCAAGAATCTAATGAGAGTCAACTCTGAAATCAATCACTTGAGAAACTAAATTGTTAAAGTTCTTGTGAAGTAGTTTCCTGATAAATGGCATCCTTTGACAGAGCGTCTGGGTAAATACGGAGCACTCATGATTGATCCTCACGAATCTTGGGTTATTTTTAAGAGAATATTTCATTTTTATATTTATATGTGGTTGCCATGAATGACAGACATGGATTCAAATTCCAGTTCCACCACCGCCTTGGTGACCTTGGATGTGGTCCTTCGTTCTGCAGTGAGACGGCAGGAGGTAGAAGAAGGCTGACATAATATGCATAGCTGGGATGATTAAATGATATGTATGAAAATGCTCAGGGTGACATCTGCCACATAGCATGTGCTCCCAAGCTCTAAAAAAAACATTTCCTAGTATTATTTACAGTTACCTACCTTCAATCAAAATAAAATACTAGGAGAATCACAGGTCACACTTCTCTATAAAGATATTAATTTTCGTGTTAAACCTTGAGACTTCATTTGGGCATTTAAATCGAAAGGCTGAATGAACTAAACCGCATTTAGAGTTTGCAGATATAAAAAATCCTTTGAAAAATAGCAGCACAGCAGAAAAATGTTTCAAATGATCAGAGGCACAAAGCACTTGAGTGCTATAAAACAAACAAAACAAAATAGAAACAGTCTCTTTCTATTTGATTGATTTTCAGGCTTCATTTGTTTATTTACCTAATATTTGTTAAATGTCTATTAAGTGACAGACAATGTGCTAGGTGATGAGAATGTAAAATTTTTTAAAGGAATCAGGACAAATAAGTGTACTCTGATCTCAGGAGACTTACCAGATAACTGTTAAACAGATGCAAAGACAAATGATTTTCATATAATAATTGTATTTATTTATAAGTGCTAGTAACTTAGGGTCAAATCACTTGGAGACTCTTTGAAGATGTTTAGATAATTTCCAGTGTCTTCAAACGTGAGAGATCCCAGGTCAGGGTTGGAAATCACCAGCTGGGAGGGGTGCTTCTGCCTCCTTGGGCATCCTGGGTCTTCTTTATTGTTGTAATCTGGGGCTTCCCTAGCTTAGCTAGGAGGGCCCTTCACGAATGAAACCTGTGTGGAAACAGGTAACGCCATTTTTAACATCCACACTGCCCTGCCAGGTCCTGCTTCACATAACATCTGTGAGAGATACATGGGACCTTGGGTTCAAGTTGTCAACCCCAGGCCAGGCCTAGAGTACTCAATACAAAGAGGATTGGGCTTCCTCATTGGGAAGGTCCAAGTGTTTTAAGAATTAAACCAGAAGTGTTGGTTTAATTTCATTTCATGACTCTGTATGAGAGATGGTGTTCTGGGTTAAAATAGAAGGGAAAACATCTTCAGGGCGCTACCAGTTCACACATCACCCCAGGCTCTTATCCCTTTCTCGTCATGGCAGATAAAAGGAAACAGAGTCAACAACAGAAAAGGAAGGGAGAGGGAAACAAGAGAAGAGAAACTGCAAGTCTGGAAGGCTCCACTCCCTGATGTCACCTGAAATCTTTGTCTACAATTAGACCTTGCGTTCCTCTCTCAGACCCGCCTCCCAATTAACTTGGTCTGCCTGTGTCGGTGAGCTTCTGCAGAAACACCTTTCTGCCTCTTGACTCTGTTGGAAAATCCTACCTTTAAATGTGTATCTAAATTTCTTCCTTTCCAAGTTGCAACTTGTGACCTTTAGGAAAATTTGCGATGTTCATTATCTGTTTAATTTACAACTAGAGTCTTATTCCATTCTTGAAATGCTTTTGGAAACTGGAGAAATATGGTCTCAAAATGCAAAATTGTCTTGTTGAATCTGCAAGTACTCATCTGCAGGGAGAACATAGGATAAGGAGTTAGCAGGGGTGTATTTAACAGACTCTTGCTATGTGTTCCAGGAAATAACCGGACATCTTTAGGGTTTTTACCTATACAATGAGTGGATTGGTTCCTAGGCATGTTTCAACAATTTTCTCATCAGTAACAGACAAGGTTATTGGCCTTGATGACTCACAAAATCCTTATTGATCCAACGTCATTCTTGTATGATTTCTTCATTTCATGAGAGTCTTTGGCTGTAAAATTCACCCTTTCTTCCCCTCAACTTATGAGCTATGGCGCAGCCTGCTTCCTTCCATTTGCTGGAAATCAGGAGTTGTCAGATGGTTTTGTGACACTGGCATAGATGAAGCTGGTCTTCCATCATAATAAACTAAAGCAACGCTAAACCAAGTTGCACGGAGACACGACTATATTTGCACGTGCATATGTATGTACACACAAAGAGACTATGGTAGTTATGGAGTCATAGAGATACGATGGGGACATTTTTTTTTACCTTTTTCTTCTTAAAAACCATTAGGATCAGATTTGGCACGGAACTGTGGCATTTCTGTTAGGATACGGCAAATGGGGGAAATTAAATCTGACTTGGAAACAAAACTGGTATAATGTGCATAATTTACATAACCTCTTTTGTGTCAGTAGAAGAGATTGCGTTTAGCTGGAAACGGGCTTTTAAAAAGGTCACACAGCTTTCTCTCATTTCACTACCCCTTCCACAGAGCCCTTTCCAGAGCCCCCAGAGTGGAAGGTTTGAAGCCTGAACACCAGGCTGCAGGCCACACCCCCTTGCACCCTCATCCCAAGAGTGCACCATATTTTCCATTTCTTCAACTTGCACTGGCAATCTGTTTTAGCATAATTTACACATTTACACATTTTAGAGAGCAAGGCACAGTCATGCAACTTAATTCCCCAAAACATAAGCACTGAAGCCTGCTTCTGAACATTGGCTCTGCAGAGCATGTCTAGGCCTCTGCAGAAACCCAGCCCAAGACACATGCCCTTTTGGAATCAGCGTCCAGGGTACCCACTGCTTGTCCCTCTCCAACCCCATTGTCTGGAGTGGCGATTTATGGTTGTCCTTTAAATGGTGATTCAGGGTCTGCCTACCTGAATCCTAGGTTCCTTCTGCCTTCCAGGTGTTAGCATTGGCAGCCACTGGAAACTGCTGAAGGACTTGCTTCAGAGTGTGAGGGAAGCAACCTTTCGATGAAATGTCATTTGATAGAATCCTCTCCCAGCGCCATTTCTTTTAAATGGACTTGTAGGAATCAGGGAAAATAGGGCCAATGCCTTTGGGCAGGGGCACCTTGAACTGGCGAAACTTACCTCTCTCTTCCTGGCCCAAGGCTGTCCCATTGAAGACAGACCAATGCCCTGGGGCGCCAGTTTCATCTCTATACAGAGAAGACACACAGTTCTGTAAGAATCTTGCGGAAAGGAATTAGCTAGGGAATGTCTACAGAAGAACGTGGGCGTGCTTGGAACTGCGCCGATACCAGCTTCCTTCTCTTCTCCTTACCAGTGGGACCGGGTTCTCTGGACCGTAAAAAGGGAAAAGACAAATCATTTGTAGAACAAAGTTATGTCTTGCATCTCTGGAGCGGAAGACGCTGTTTGTGACCCCCTCTTCTGACAGCTGCTTTCCTACGCAGGATAATTGAGTTTCTCTCCTATTCAGTCAGGTCGCTTCCTTAAAAATAGTGATTAAAAAAGATTTACTGGAGGGCAGGATGACATTTATATGGACTAGAGGCATTTTCTTGTTCATTTTGTTTGGGGAGTAACCTTTCTGAAAGGGTAGATTTAATTTAGGGAACACTTCATTAAGCGGGAACTGATCACTGGAAGGAATATTTTGCAATGAAAAATGCCATTCCCAAAGAAGGGTGTTCTCAGCCCCACAAAATCTGACAGTTCAGGGAATTGAGGATTTGAGGAGGTGGAGCAAGCTCCTTTGAGTCAGTGGTTCTTGAATTTCTTTTCTTTTCTTTCTTGCTGTTTTTGCCCGTTTTGATTTTGAATCATTGGCGGTGCAGCAGTGACTACTTTCAAGCTGCTGGAAACTTTTGCTGAAGTATTCGCGATCAGGGTCACAGAGAGACACTTTTAGTGCTGGTCCATTGTTGGGTATGTTCTAAGAGTGACTGATTGCTCCCCCTGCCTGAAAACACTCACCTCCAGTCACTGGAACTATTTTGAGATCTTTACGGATTTGTTGTCCGCAGGGTCTCTGAGGAAAACTCCAAAGTCTAACAGAGAACTTCAAGGAAGAGAATTGACCCTGTTACTTCAGAACAGCCCCGGCGGGTAACAGTAAGACACTAGCAGCGTGTATTAGCTGCATCTTTTCTCCTTGCACCTTCTACTAGCTGAGCACAGCGGTGGTTTTCGGTGACACTTGGGTTGTCTCTGGCAAGCTCTGCCGCATGACAAGTTTTTCTTCTATTTTCTTCTCCTGCCCTTGTGTTCTGAGGATCTGTCAACAGATTCCTGTCTTGTACTTTTGGTGGCCGAGTGTTCTCTGATGGCTAAATTTCAAAGAGACTTTTTAAGCCAGGTTTGCAAATATCTCTTTATCCCTCTTTCCTGATCTCTCAGTATCTGCCCAGGCACCCAGTGTGAGTCTGCCACCCCTGGGGTACAGCACCAAGCCCAGGAATGTGAGGTCTTCAGGATCCAGCTCCCCAGTCCATGTGACTGCCTGTTGTGAGCTGCCTTACACTGTGTGCAATATATTACCATTGTCCATGTTTCAGTGAATCATTTCCTACAATGGGACAATTTCTCTAGTAGATGCAAAATGTGATAGGGTTTCTAACCAAACACTCTACCTCACACACTGAATCATGATGATTTTAAAGCATTTCTAGGTCAGAAAATATCCTGAATATAAGCTTTTATCTTTCTTTATAAATTAAAATATTTTAAAAATGAATCTATTGCTTAGGGCATGTTTTAACAAATTATTCTAGGCAAAAGTTACAATTTTTCCTATCATTTGAATTTGCAGAGATTAAAAAAAAATCTCAAAGCAGAAGAAACACTCTTATGTGTTACTTGCAGGAGGGAAAATTGTGTGCTTTTTATAAAGGGCAATTTGCCAATGTACATCAGGAACATTAAATATGTTAGCACCCATGACCTAGTAACCCTATTTTCAGGAATCTATTCTGAGCAAGTAATCCAATGTACACAGCTATTTCACATGAATTGGTTTATTTAAGCATTACCTGCAATCATGAAGAAAAGGAAAGGCAACTAGAAAATGCTCCAAATAGGTGAATGATTAGGTTAAATGTTGTCGATGTGTATTAGGTTACGTTAATAAAGAAATGTTAACGATACAAGGAAAATGTTTATTGACAACGTGAAAGACAAAAGGCAGAATATACGGTTTGATGAGTGTTTTGAACTGAACGCTAGAAAATATATATGCATCGAAGGTGAAGAGACCTCATGCCAAAATGTTTATTAGTGATGATTCTCTGATACTGAAGTTACCAGCCATTTCCTTCTTCCTTTTTATGCTTTGTGTGCTATAAACATACAAAATCATTTTTAAAATATTCTAAATAGTAATCATACATTGGCTTAAATTGTGTGTGAATGCGTGTAGATGAAGACTCATTTTTTTTTTTTTAGAAAAATAAAATATGTCTAGCAATAAGGATGAAACAAAGAAAGACTTGGGCTAAGTTCACATTTTTCAAACCAACTTGTGCTTCTAAAATAAAATTCTTCCTCTCCACACACTGGGTTCCTGGAAGTTGACCAAAATCTGCTCAGTAATATTAATTCCACTTAAAAAAGGGAAGAGAGCATATTGAGTTACACGCGCTTAGGGGCTGGGTGCTTGGAAAGAATCAGTTGGTGAGGACCGAAGTGATGTCGGCATGTTTCTATTTGCATTTGGAAAACTGACAGATAATTGAAAGGAAGCAGTGAAGGAAATTTCTCAAAGGAAGCCCACCGAGAAGCCAGCAGAGTCCTGCCCGTGGAGGTGCCCAGGTCGGCGAGGCTGGAGGCAGAATCATCTAGAACTGCACGCTTCTTCGGGTATGTGTGGGTTCTCCGTCTGCTCTCTTGGATCAGAAAGACCTCCGCCTTGCCCTGCAGCTAGGGTGCAGTGCCCTGTACTCAGAACCACCTCATTCTCTCCAATGACAATTTCTACAATATTCCTGATACCTTACACGCAGGAAATCATCAGGACAGTGATCCATCCTGTTGCCTTTCAAAGTGCCCACAGAAAACAGTCATGACAGATGTTATTTTTAATAAATTTATTAGCCTTTTTATTATAAATGATGGTAGTACTTACTACCTTCTGTACATTCTCAATATGCATATTTTGACATAATCACGATTGAACAGTGGTTCAAAGGTTGTAGGCATGCACAGAATATGTACACGGATAGAGTTAAAAGTGGAATAACAGCAGTGTAAAAAGGGAATTTGTTCCTAATTTTTTTAAAAACAGCAAGAGATAAAGAAATCTTGTAGAGGGAGAGGGAGAAAAGAAGGGATAAAAAGAAAGAGAGAAACGGGGAGATGTGGCAGAGAGAGAAAAAGAAGAATCAAAAGAAACTTGGGTAACAATACCATGCACTTTTTGTTGGTACTGCATAAGATGAAAATAAAACAGGGCGGTGACAGTGTAAATCTGAATTTACCACTGCACTGTGCCCTCAGGGAAGGGGGAGGTTGCTGGGAAGCAAACCGAATTTATCCGAGAACATTGGTTTCATGTCTGTGTTCTTTAGATCCCAGCTTCCCACAAAATGTATTTATTTAACAAATGTCACCCAAAACAGCTTGGTAGCAGATGAGGTTTATTTAATGGCAGCAAAACAGGTGAAACATTCCCTACATTTTTCGTCTCTGTTTATGTTTCTATCAAAAAGAAAAAAATTGAGCTACGTACCGCTCTTTACTCTCTCAGAGTCGTGGCATGTATGGGAAAATAGCACAGATTTTGCTTAGTAACTGGCTTTGAAAATACTAATCTCTGTATTTTCTCAAAGCAATTTATGATTTTTCGGCTGAGAGGACAGGATCATCAAATCCAGACTCGACTTTATTTTTTATTTTATTTTATTTTTCAGTACTTTCTCTTTGAGATCTGCTGTCCAGATTTGGCAAGGTGCTAAGTTCCTTTAAGTCTATGTTCTCTTCCCATTTTAGCTTCACTAGGCTTCGGAGTGGCCTCTCAGAGAGGAAGGAAAGCACCCATGTCTTCCGCAGCAGCCCTTTCATCTGTAACCTTTCTCCAAGTGAATGCTAATTGAAAAAGAAAGAACACCACTAATCTTGGAATTTAAATGCATTTAACAAAACCAATCTCACTGTAAATTGTTGTTTCGCCATTCCCTTTTCCCTAACAGATGTCGAGAAACTGCAATTCCTATTAAGAGCACTTGACGGTTTACTCGGCACGGAACTTCAGCCCCAGCCTGCATCAATCTAAATGCGTTTCGAGACGTCAGGCCCCCGAAAAGTGCAGACGGTTAGTCAGTTATTTTTAAATGTAATCTTCACATAAAAGAATCATAGCATTTTCCCTTTCACTTTGTCATCCCTTCTCTTCTTTAACGATGGCATTGAGCATAGGAATAGAAGAGAATTTTTAGGACCCGTTTCATTTAAGTTGAGTTTGGTGTGAGCTGCTAATGGCTTTGTCGTGGGGGTCGGAGACATATTAGTCAAGATTATGAAGTTGATCGGGAAAGAATGCACTGTCCAGTGTTGTAGCCCAAATGTTTGGCATCCGGACCAGAGGTCTGCTTTCTGCAGGACATGCACCTTCGCGGTGCTCCTGGAGACAGAGCTGGAGAGAGGGGGCTGAGGTGAAGGAGCCCTGGGCTGGGATCCCTGACGTGGTACCAGCTGGTAGATGGGAGCAAGATGAACTCGGTGTCCACATCTGAATCCAGACGTCCCCCACATTCACTTGGCCAGAACCTCAGATTATCTTACCGTAGCTCTCATTTGTTTAAAAGCACTTGTTTGACACTTGGCACCCAGAGTACACATACGACACAGCCAAGCTGCGTGACTCTGCAGAGCCGGGTCTTCCCTGCAGCAGGTCGCCGGGACCTTGTCTCACCAGTATCAAGCTGAACAATTTGGAAAGACCATGTTTTCAAAGATCTCTGCGTCCTGACATGTTTTCCCTTTCCGGTGCACTGTCTGTTCCTCTTACTAACTTATTAAGGATGAGAGAGAAAAGGTGCACAGAGGGAGTAGGAACATCAACTCAAATCTGCCAAAAGCCTCCTCTGTGTAGAGCCCAGTAGGGACCCGTACCTGTGCGGGGTGCCTGGTGATTCGCCAGTACAGCGAGCTTGCTGCAGGACTTCCTCCCTGCTGCACGGTATCTGGGTGTCTTGGCTTGTATTCAACCCATTTTCTAGATGAGAAAACTGAGGCTCTCAAAGGCTGATCTGACCCCAAATCTAATCTGTGGACCTGAAGCTACTTGCCAATCCATGTGGGCTTCTAGTGCTTTCTCTTTTCACTATTTAAAAATATATTTTAGAGGTAGTTAAATATATCCTAAGTCTTCTAGTGCCTGGTCAGGATCCAGAGGGCAGAAGCTTATCCTGACTCAGGTCTGTATGGTCCCGGGATTCTCCCCCTCCGGCTACCTGTGTACTAGTGGCTGAGTGACGGATTGTGGAATTGTCAGAGTGGCAGCCTCACCTGCATCTTGGGTGTGATGTTTCAGCACATGTTAGTCATGCTGGGCTGGAATATAAAACATGCCCCATCCAGGGGCATTCGTGTCCTGGCCCCCAAGCCAAATAGTCTGTCTGCTTCAGGTGGAGAGTGGATCTCCCTGGGTGCTGGAATCTGGCAGGTCTGGTTCTGGACTGATCTCTCAAGCAGCCTCAGGAAAATTAGCTTGAGTGCAGCTAAACATAGCTGTCATCCTCTGGGGCAGGGCAGTGGCTTGTCTGGCAAATGTGGGACAGTTTCCAGGCTAATCCAACAGAAGTCAGAAACTGGGGACAGCCAAGCACATTGGCTCTGACTGCGGCACTGTGAGCTTTTCTTATCTCCGGGTTTGCCCTATCTTGGATTTGTTTCCTGCTTCTCTTTGTCTCTCTGTCAAGTTTCCGGCCTCCTCTCCCTTCTACTGGCTTGTTCCTGGCCCTGGCTCCTTTTATTTCTTTTCAGCCTTTGTCTTCCTTCCTTTCCTCTCTCTCCTTTTTCTCTCCCTTATTTGCAAATCTGCTCTTTCTTGGTGAGAAGTAGCAAGGAAACTGCATCCCACAGAGAGACAGAAGGACCTGGCCCCTTCCGAGGAGCTTAGGATGAGACCAGTGTGGTGGCTCAGAGACTCCGTCCAGTGCAGAGTACCCGCTGGGTTTCACGCATTCTGACTCGATTTGACACTTAGCGTCCTCTGCCTGGGGCGGAAGTGCCCAGCCCTAAGTCTACCTGGGGAAGCTGAAGGGGATCCACAGCGGGGCTGTCTGCTCTGTGTGCACAGCCAGGTGCTGCGGGCAGACTTCTGCTCTATCCTTTGAGCTTCATGACAGTAGAAGGTACTGGGAGTCAGAGGGACACTGAGATTTAAAATCCTAAGATAAGTTAGACTGATCCTTCTTCTCGTGCAGGAAGAAACCAAATTTCATAGAGTTTGAGAGACTTTTCCAGACTCAAAAATAAAATAAAATAGGCGAAAAGGAAAACCCAAATCCAGATCTCTTGATTTTCACCTTTTTTTCCTCCCTATACCGACTATTTCATAGAAGGGGAAGAAGAAGGGAGAAGGTGGGATCAGAGGAGAAGGAAGGAGGAAAGCAGAACCGAGGCCCTAGCAGGGTGATCCTTAACAATCCACAGGCTGAACTACGTGCACTGAATTGGGAATTAAAAGACCATTATGATCCCAGCACTCTGGGAGGCTGACAAGTTCAAGACCAACATGGGCAACTTAATAATTTAGTGAGATCCTAACTCAAAAAAAGGGTTGGGGATGTAATTCAGTGTGAAGGCTCTGAATTAAATTCCCAGTACAACCACCACCACCACCACCACCACTGAAAAAGAGAAAGTCTTCTCCAGGCTCAGTTTCCTTTCCCCAGCAGCAGTTCACAGCTTTCCCTCCTTTAGAAGATCTAGATTTAAACTTAAGCCACCTCTGTGTGTTCCTGCTTCACATTCCACAATTTTAGAGCCATGAATAGTTCAGTTCATGCAAGCAGCTCCCGAGTTACCCATCACGACCCCATTTTACACATGGGGAGGGTGAACTTGCTGCCTCCTCCAGGTGAATCTTCATCCCTCCCGGGCAGGGAACACAGCTGAGCTTAGTGGTGAAGAACACAAAGTGAGAAATCAGATGCACTTTTCTCAAATTCTGTTTATTTACGTTTTTACCCTTTCTATTCTTCTCAGCCCTAGGTAATGAATTTGAACTTCAGCTTTCTCATCTGTCTGTGGGAATTAGGAAGCTGGGACTGCAGAAGTAATAGGGGCTAAGTAGTAGGAGCGCGGATAGAAAGGCATCCAGCCCTGCACTGAAGGAGACGGCTACCCAGGAAGCCAAAGCAAGAGAAAAGCGCGGTGGGCACCTGCTACTCTGCAGCGTGGAGCTGGGTTCTGAAGGTGGGTGAGCAGAGCAGATCAAGGAGGATAAAAGGATCTTCCTACATCTGTAATTTCCCTCTCTCCATTCAGCAGACTCAAACTGAGCCCCTACTAGGTTTGAGTCATGCTTCCTGGGTTTGAAACTGTCGGAATGCTTGAGAAAACAACAACACAGAAACGATTACCAGTGGGTGCAGAAACAAGCAAGTTCTTAATGAGGCAAAAACAGTGGCTGGCGGAGCGGAGCTCGCGTCCTGGAGGGGCTGACGTTCCCACGCGGCCCCAGCCCCTCCTGTGCGGCTCCCAGTGTGTAGGAGCAGAGAGGAGGCACGGAAGGAAGCGGGTGTGCTCAGTGCAATGCATGCAGTATCTGCCGAGGTGGCTGATCTGCAGCCTTCCCAGAGAAGATGAGGACAAGGCAAGGGAGGTGAGTTGATTACAGGAATTTAGATTGATCCGCAGGGCCCACCCCCAGCACAGAAGGAAGAATGGCAGTCACTGCCATTGCAGAGCCTTGGGTGTGATAATTACAGGTGGGTCTGCAGCCTTGCACATCCCCTACATTGTTATCTGAGAGCCTGGTTCCCCGGCCAGCATTTTCAGAGCGATTGCAAGCACATTGTCTGTCACTGGGACTCAGGTTTAGTATGAACAAAGCCACATGGAAAACCAAGGCTGCCTGGCTCCTAGTCTTCTTGCCTTTCCCTTCCTTCAAGGGGAGTCACCTTTGGCTCATGCCCTGGATTTGATGCCGGGCACCACTTGGTGTGCTGCCCCGTGTGCCTCTTCATCATCATGTCATGCCTGGGCACCTCTTCCACCCACAGCCACCACCCTTCAGAGTCCACTGCACTTGTGCCCCTCAGGAGGGGCCCTGCCCAAGCCCAGAGGTGCCCCTCATGTGGGATCAGCAGAGCAGGGCATCCTCTCCTGTGTCAACTTCCCCTTCCTCTAAATATCTGCTCCCCTGGGCCAATCTTCCCAATCAAGCCACAGGGCTCCTGGTGATGTACCAGGAAAGTCTGCATATCTCAGTTGTGCTGTGGTCATCACTAGCACGCATGCCTGTCAGTGAACCATAGCAGGCCTGGATGGAGGTGGAGTCACGCTGGCTGTGCCTTGTTTTGTGTGCTGTGTGTTAGAGTGGGATTCTGGCTTGGCCACCTCCCAGAAGTGACCTTGGGCCAATCGCTTAAGCTCTGGGTGCCCTCCAGTGTCCTGTGAAGATCAAATGAATGTTGTGGCAGTGTAGAGGGAAGGCCTACACCTTGTCAGTGGTCAGCTCTGAGGTGAGGAAGACTTGAGCCTGAAGCCCAGGACAGGGAAGACCCATGTTCAGAGAGGCAGTCAGGAGCCCAAGCCAAGCCAGCTTGGCCTCTGACTGTGGGACTCATGTGGCACTGAACACTGGGGAGAGTGTGTGCGTGTGCGTGTCAGAGAGAGGGAGAGAGAGGTGGGTAGAGGAATGAGGAGAGAAGACGACGCCAGCCTGTTTCCAAATCTGAGCAGATTTCTAATTAGGATAACATTCAGGCATTCTGAAGAGGAGATGGGAGCACAGAGGCGCTCATCTGTGGGGCTGCTTAGAAGTGCACGGTGGCAGAAGGTAATCAAGCTGCCTTGAACCTCTGCAACGGCCTGGCTCCGAGTCTGCCACGAGCTATCTTTGTTTCCCTATCTTTTCCTGGAGCCTTTAGCAATCGCTAACAATCCTATTTACTCTGTGTACCAGACAAACACAGTTACCGTTACCATCTCACTATTTTTATCTAATATTGAAATTTCTCTCCCTAAGAGCAGCCCTGAATATATTATGATATCTACTGAATAAATGATGTGCGTAATATACTGTGCAGAGAGATGGTATTTATGGAGCTCAGGACTAACTGAAATGAAGGAATCATTCAGTTCTCCTTTGAAAGGAAATTCAATTGGATAAATTTTCAAGAAAGCAAAGACTTTTTTTTTTTTTTTTTGAATCCATGCAAACTTTTGGATTCAAGGCCAACTTCTCCCTCTCCCTTGGTGGGACAGACTGCCCTGCCATTTCTAGCATATTTTCTCTGCAGAAATCAAGATTAACTCTCTGTTCCAATGTGAGGCATGTCCTATTAGTAGCATCATTGCTGTCAGTTTTAAGTATAATGGTATGTCAAGCACATGTAACAGTGTTTGAGATGCTACAAATTATTTACTCCAAATGTTTTTGAGTCACAGGGGTCGAAAGCATTCCCATTTTGCAGACGAGGAGCCTCTGCTACATAAGCAGCACTAAGAAGCAAATTCCTGATACTTCAAAGCTTTACCAGCTCGATTAGGAGCTTCATCTTCACTATGCAATTGTGTTCTGACCTTGCCCTTACCCGGAGTTGCCACAGTGACGGAGCTAGTGATATTAATGGAGCTGTTCTCTGCTTGTGTAACAGTTTACAAAGCTCCACCTGAACCTCACGCCCTCCAAACATGAATCGGGGAACTGAGTGCAGGAAAGGAAGAGTGGACAGATTCTGCAAGGTCTCACGAGGGATGAATGTGGAACCTGGGTTCAGAGCAGAACGTGCACCCAGCCCCTGAATTCAGAAACACAATCCAGCCACCTTCACTTGCACGCAATTCTAGTTCAGAAGTCAGGTTCTCCTTTTGGCACGTGTCCTCCTCCTGTGAACTTGCCTCTACCTTCTCTCTCCCCTTAAAGATAGAAAAAAGAATCCTAGAGTTGGAAGAGTTGGAACAAGAACAGTAAAACAACAACAACAAAAAAAAACCAGACTCTAGGGGATTTTCTCAACAATCCTCTCCCTTTTTCAACCAAGGAAAGCAATTTTGCAGATGGTGCTCAGGAAGGTGGGGTGTGGTCCCTTTCTAAAAAATTCCATATGCCTCTCTTATTGTGGCACAAGGCTACTTCTTGGCGAGTTTTCAGCCCATTAAGACAAAGTATTTCATCCTGTGACTCTCAGGCCTTTCTGCCTACCTACTGGATCTGTCCCCAACCCCCATTCCAATTCCATCCCTTGTGAGACAGCTCATAGAGGGTTAGCAAAATTGGTCAAAAACCTCCTTTTCAGCATTCCAGGACCTGCTGATAAGCACCCAAGACCACATCCCCCCAGGAAAGAGTCCTTTGGGTGTTGTCATGGTTAATCTTGATTGGATTGAGAAATAACTAGCAGCCAGGAGTAGTGGCATATGCCTGTAGTTTCAGGATTTGGGAGGCAGGGGCAGGAGGATCACAGTGAATTTGAGGACAGCCTGGGATACAGAGAGTTCAATGCCAATCTGAACAACCACATACAACTACATAGTGAGACCTTGTCTCAACAAAACCAAAAACCCCCACCAAAAACAAAACTAGTAAAGCACACTTCTGCGAGTGTCTGTGAGGGTGATTGACCTGATTGGCAGACACGATTGGCATGTGAGACGGCAAACTGAGGGAGGAGACCCACCCTGAATAGGGCGGCACTATCCAATAGGCTGTAGGCACAAAGAAAGGAAGGCAGGAAGAGCCCCTCCCTCTTCCCCCTCCATGCCCTTCCACTATGATGTTTCTGTTACCACACAGCCCTACACTAATGGATCCCAGCTGACCATGGACTGAAATCTGAAACTGTGAGCCAAAGTAAACCTTTCCTCCTTTAAGCTGTTTTTTTCAGATATTTTATCAGAGCGTTGGAAAGCTGACTGAAACAGCTAGGGACAAGAGGTTAGATACAAAGAAAGGTCAAATAAGTCAGGTAAATACAACTTTCAAAAGTTTCTTTTTTTTTTTTTTCAAAAGTTTCTTTATGGTAGAATTTGGTGACACATTTGAAGGGTTAATGTGCATGAGAAGTAGCCATGAGGAACAAAATATAAAGTATTTCCAAATTTATTCGTCTATAGAACTATTTGTTTGTAAAGACTATCTTGTGTGGCTAAGGATCTTTGGTTCATACTGAAGATAATGATATTTTAGACAAGTGGTCAACATTTTATGATCTTCAGCACAAATCTATTTTGTAGATAAAATTTTATTGCAAGCACAGACATGCGTGTTTGTTGATGTGTTGTCTGTCTGCTTTTACATCACAATAGTAGAAATAAGGAATTGCAACAGGAACTACTTAGACTACAATTTCAAAATTATTCACTCTTCGGTCCTTAATAGAAAAAGTGTGCAGCCCCCTAGAAGGTAATACAATGGGCTTCTTCTTACTTTTTATAACAAACTTAGAGCTTCAGTATTAATTACAATGTTAGAGCCAGAATATTTTCTCTTTCTTTTAATGGTGTAAAGGGTCTAGCCATTGAGAAGGGTGTTGAAACACATTTCTAGAGTTGTAAATAAGGATTCATCCAATTTTCTATTCACAGATAACTCACCAATGGATGTCATCTCTGTGTGATGTTTACAATCCCTGAGATCATAGAAATGGACAGTTCAGGATGGGGCAGTTACACCAGCTTGATTGTGTCCTCATCCATTGGGTCCTGGATGGAAGAAAGCAGCACGGAGGGGCTGTGTCCCCATTGTCAACTGTACCGAAAATGAAAGCCCATTCTGAGTTTCCCAGTGAAGAGCCTCCCTCTCTGTCTTCCAGGAGCTGCCACAGGCCTCCCCAACTTAGTGTTTGCTGTAGACTTAAATTTAGCCTTACATTCATTAATATTTTTTACTTTTGTTGCAGATTGGTTTCTAGTGAACTGAATATTAAAAAGACATTACAGAGAGAAACGATGCGCCCGGCTGATTGTTTCTTCCCCAAATGGATACCATGATGAGTGAGCACTTTCATTTACATAAACAATCAGTCGAAAGGGCCGACTACATATGAGCATTCATATTTGGTGACATCCTGATTGTAACCATCAATAACAATATTTTTATTCTTGGATAATAAACATCATTACACAGTGTGTTTTCGGTGAGTGGGCACTCAATGGGGGGAAGAAGGAGATGATCAGAAAGATCAAGAAGAGAGGTCAGGAATAGAGGTAACCTTGCACATTTAAGGGATGCAATCAATGTTTTTGCCAAGGGCCCATCGGCACATACCAGGGAGGCCTGTGATTCACAACACGTGTGGATGAAATGTGTTGCCCTAGCTTGTGGTCTGCTGGATGATGAGGACACCCATGGTCAGGCCATGGCAGCCCCACATGACTTGTGTCAGCCCCAGGAAGACACGTTTCCATGGGGTTCTTCCAATGCAGCCATGCTAAGATCCTGTGATTCTGATTGTATTCATTGGTTCCATCTTTGGGTTGCTTGTTTTTTAATTTCCCCCTTTTCAATTTCATATTCTTTTATCCATGCATGGCATATCTCCAGAACCTCTCTACCTTTCAGCCCCTAGGTTACTGAATTTGTGTCTCTGTTCACACTTAGTACCCACAACCTAGGTCAGAGCATACATACTGTCTTCTTCCACCCCCAAAGTGGACTTTTTATTTTTTAAATTTGAATCTTGAATAAATAAATTTGGTAAACTCTAGACAAGATTATCTTCTAAATAAACACAGGAAGAAAATGACATAAGGACCAAAGAAGAACTAAGGTCTGAAAAGATTATGAAAGAGGTTAGTCATCTGGTCATAAGCATAGACTTCACCACAGACAGGCATCGATTTGAAACTTGGCCCTGCCATTGATAAGCTGTGTGTCCTAGAAAACTCATCCCATCTTTTTGAGGCTCAATTTCCCCATCTGCAAAACCGAAGTGACAGTATTTAATCAGGAGGATAACAACTGTAAGGTTTCTGGTAACAGTTGCAGGGGTCACTGAAGCAGCATATGTGGGGTCAGCCCTCTAATATCTGACCCGTAATGTGAGCTGGGTCAGTGTTTGCAAGCACCACTGTGTGAAGATGCAAGGATCATACTTGGCAGGAAGTTAACAGTTTGTACAGTTCCCGAGTAATGGATTTACTTGTCAAAAGAAAATAACATCCATACTGCAAA